TTAGCCAGACTACCCCAATGAAATCAGAAGCTTTAGTGCTATAAAACTAGGGTTTGGGAATATCTTTGCCTTATTAAGAAAGAAGAGAGGGACCCCTAAGCCTTCCTTTTCCTTCAGCTAAACCATCACACTGCGGCCTTTGTTTTTGGGAGTGAACTGCACAGCCTCCAGCACTGAACAATCTGTGTAATTTCTTCTCAGGTGTGCACACCTTGCCAAAAGCCAAGTGCCAGGTGTAAAGTCCACGCTCAGCCTTATCAGTACATGAAATAAAGTCTTCTTCCCTCTCGGTCTAACCAAACGCCTGAGGGCAGGCATCAGCAGGGATACCTGCATGCTTGCAGCCCGTCTCATCATGCCACAGGCCGCAGGCACCTGGGTGAGGACGTCAAGCCAAAGCTTGTCCCCACGAGGAGCATCAACAACTACAAATCCAGCTGCCAGAAGCACAAGTTTGGGCTTGGTTGCAATACCTACATTTAACTCCTGCCAGGCAAGAGTGATGCAAGGCACGAGGCACGCGTTCAGTTCAGCTGCTGTCAGTTCTTTTCGTATGTAACCTGGCTGCTAAAAATAATTCTTAGGAAATTAAGGAACATTTTGTTGTTATGTCAGACTAATCCTGAATTTCGTTTTGACAAAACAAGCCTTGGTGAAAACAAATAACAATGCATGTGTTTTTACGAATTCAGGAATGGCAAAGTGGAAACATGTCGCTAAAAAAAACACATCCATTCCATGCTCACAGCCAGAGACAGTAACAGCACAGGAAAACCCAAAAATAAAGCTGACTAGAAACAAAAGCGGAGTGTTTTTTTATTTTTCTTGTGCCTAAACAAAAGGAAATATAAACAATGAACAAGCATCAAGAGCAAAAAGAAGATTCCATTTTAATGAGATTTTGTTTGTTTAATAACACGCTGTAAAAAGCATGAGTAAAATTCACCCCAACGCCCTCTAAACCTCCAAGGGTTCAGAATACAAGCGCTCATATGCAGAATTTCTGGGGCACAAGGTTTAAGCTGAGAACCATCTGAAATGCCTCTAGACCTCATTCCTTAATGATGTGAGCTAAAGGCGTGGCTTGCATGCAACCTAGAAGTTCAAGGTAAAGTTAAACTTGTTGCAAAAGGACTTTTAAATATATATATGCACATTTGTGACAAGTTACGTTCACTTTTATAGTAAACAGCAGGGTCTTCTTACTCCACATTCTTGGGAGATGCGTCGTGCCATGGCAGCTGCTTGTAAGACCCCGTAAATGAGGTAATGTGCAGAACTTCATCTGAAACCAAAACGAGGTTTGTTTCCCTGGATGATGACATTAAATAGGACAGAAATGGCTACCTACACTATGCACGGTACAGACTAAGCCTTTTTTTGCTGTTAAAATATAAATTCAATTAGTTACTTCCACGCTTAAGCAGAACTGCCGCTGCTGAAATTGTACTCCAACGATAATTGCAATCCAACAGTGATCTAATTATGTACAAGTCTCAGTGGCTGCATTCCCACGTTGCTTTCTACAACCCGGATTCACTACAATACAACTCGTAAGTGCAAACCACAGTTTTCAAGCACTCTCCCTTAAGACCGTATGACTTTATATATGTTTAATGAGAACGGAGTCAGTCTATTAGCAAGCTTACTATAAAACTGTGAGTTTCTACCTGCTATTAAACACAAAAGAATAGAAAGGCACTCGAGTTTCATGTAGAAAGCGGCTGATGGGCTGAACTGTATAAGGGAAAGTACATTCTTTTAATTAAGGTGTTGGAGGAGGATTCGAGTACCAGCCTTCATTTTTTGTTCTGCCACCAGCTTCCTGTGTGACCCAGGGCAAGAAATTTCATTGCTCCACAGCTGGTTTTCACATCTATAAAACAGACAGTGACATTCCCTTCTCCCAGTCTCTGCGTTTAGGTTGTAAGCAATTACTACATGCTGGCACGCTGCTTTGGGCAACAAATAGCTGATATTAATTGAAGCCTCTGGGTTGCACTCCAATAAATAGCTGGAGAATGCTCCTCTTCCTTTCCAACAGCATTTTGCACGGTCACCATTAGCCACTGATGCCATCAGCACAGCTGCAGCCCTGAGACCCTGCCTGGAGACAGGAAGGGCGAGGAGCAGGGGCCCTTGAGGGCGTCCCAAACACTTCAAGAATGACCTCGTTCAACACAGAACATTCTGCCCAGCTTCACTGCATGGTTTCCCCCTAACGTTGTCAATGTGGACGAGTATTTGGTGTTGCACAGAGAGGCTGCTGACAATTCGCTGCTTTCTTTGTCAGTATTTTCTAACTCGCATTGTAAAAAATCCAGTACAAGTGTTTTGCCAAGTTTGTAAATTTGAACAAGACCATCTGAGCAGAGTTGACTGTTTTAAAAGGGTTCTTGCAAGTAATTACAAGGTAAAAACGAGAATAATTCACACCTACATCTGCACTGAAAAACTTCTCAGCCCTGCTGGCTCCAGGCTTTTAATTGTCGAAAGAGTTCAAGGTTTGGAAAATTATTGGCATCAAGTCATACTGGATATTCCTAACTAGCATTGTGTCATTACTTGGCAGGATTTTTGCTGGGATACTTCCCAAATCTGTGACATAATCAGAGGGTTCTCCACATTACTCCATATAGTCAGACTCTTGTGTTCATATAATACAATACCATGTTTAATACCATTTGCTATTACTTACACTTAATCAACTCTGGAATCAGTTATACCACGTAGGAAAAGCAATTTCAGAGGCTTTCAACTGACAGTTTTCCACACACAACCTGGCCTAAAATTATGACCTGAAGCTTGTAAGATGTTGTCTACATGTGCAATAGCCTCTAAACAAACACCCATAACTCTCCACAGCTCTATGGGAATGGAAAACTCATATAAAGGAAAAAAAGAGAGAAAAAAAAGGAAAAATAATAATAATAATCCAGAAAATTAACTTCTGTGTAACTATCTTAACTAGAAAACTGTCAAAGTTTCCCCTTCTGGCCTGTTGTAATTTACTGCTTCAATGGTTTCTTGCCCAACCTCCACAATTATCACAAGCTTTCAGCAACACAGAAATGGCTGAGCTCTCCAGCATCAATGCCCCTTTCTACTTAAAGCCTCAGTGCAGAATCTCTTGAGAGACTCTCAGTAAACTCAACACACAATATTAGTTATCTTAGGGTATACAATCCTATAAGCATGCTTTCAAATTAAACTAACAACGATACCCTTTCACACAGCAAAACAAATGCAAAAAGGGACTGAAAAGATGAAGTGTGCTGAGTTCCACAACGCTGACAGTGACCTGCAGAAGTGGCTTTGGCTTTCCCATCTCCTAGGGCCCAAATATCACAAAAAGGTAAATTTAACCCCAGGGAAAATCAAGTGTCCTTTGGGTGCCATGAGCTGCGTACCCAGCACCCCAGGTCAGCAGTCACTTTTGAAGAACTTGACCTCACTATTTACCTTTCTGCCTCTCTATAGCAAAGGAATAGACATTTCACTAAGTGACATCACCTTTATTGCCATTCCACTCATTCATACAAGTCACTGTAATTTATTGCCAGGAAAAATAAACGTCTGCACAATATTCCTCAATATAAGCCATTCAAAAAGCTCAAAGGGAGAGAGGAGGTGAAAGGACTTCTGACAAATATTTGCTCAAGTGACCGCATCATCCATGAACACATTTGCTAGAAAGAAATGGGTGAAGAAATCTATAGTCACCTTGAAGCATGCCAGGCTGGGACTGGGGCAGCAACGAGGAAAAGGAACAGGGGAAAGAAGGGGAATTTTTGATCAGTTTCTCCTGAGCAAAGAAAAATTCCACTATTGCAAAAGAACAATATTTCCTCTTATGCAGCTTTAAGCAAAAACAAAGTTGAACCAATTTAGATTCCCCAAACGATTAAGAAAATAGCTAAATAATTTCTACAGAACTTCCAAAAGTCCCCAGGTGCTCATCCCACCCCCTGTAAGGCCAGGCAGGATAAGCAGCAAGCAGGGCACCATGCACTGCCTGCACCAGCAGCCACCACTGCTGCACCCTCAGCAAATGCTGTCTAAACAAACATTCAGGCAAAAATGGCTTTGTCAGCCACTTGGTTCACTGTATAGAGGTTGTGCTGTGGCTTCAGACTGACAGAATCCTCATAACAAAATTCCCTTCTTCCTCGCCTACTGCATGAAGGCTAAACCTTCAAATTTGGGGGTTTCTGCAGATTTAAGTGGTCCTAAACAATGCAAGGGATGCACTTCTATTCATAATCAACAGACAGGGAAATGAAAACTTTGCCCTGCTCTGACCAAATACACTGAAACTTACATTAAGATTCACTCTAGAAAACAAGTTGGGCTGCCAGTCCCCAGCCCAAAATGGCTTACAATAATAATGCTCATTTTTAATTTCAGTCTGTACTGAAATTAGTTTATTCCCAGAGCTTACAACACTCAGATGGCCCCACGAGCTGAGGAGAGCAAAGCCCACTCAGACATATTTCAGAAACAGCAGTTCAGACCTCAAAAGGTACCACTACCAAGTCCTGTTATAACAGCCAAACTGATTATTTTGAATAGCAACCTCTGCAGATTTAATACAACTATTCCACACCCATCCAAGGCTGATCACCAAGGGTATATCGGGACAAAATGTGTGCCAATATTAGTTGTACCAGCAAAAATTAAGTTGTAACACTAATACTTAAAACTGCATTAGTATTTATTATTTGATCTTTGTGTATTGCAGCAACATGCAATTACAAAGAGCTTCCTTGCACAGACACTACAGCTTGGCCAAGATACAGGTAGATTAGTTTTGTAGACACAGTAAGATAATATATTAAGTTATGCAGGAGCTGTTTATGCAGTGAATTCTTTTCTTCCAAATACCATGAAATTATCGTCAAAATTAAGAAAAATCTATCGGCTTAGTTGTAAATGTTTTTATAAAGAAACCTGGCCATTAATTAACAGCATCCTCACGTGTTTGACAGAGCATGACTTACCGACAACATCGAGATGGTAAGTGTGGTTGATGGAGCCATACTGGTTTTCCACGATGCACGTGTAATTTCCTTTGTCAGAAGGAACTACACTCTCCATGATGAGACTCCAGTGCTGGTTGCGGACCTGGAGGGTTATAAACAGAAACTGAGAACTTTCCCAGCACAGCATCCTCCTTTCCCCCTCCAAAACAGCTGTTACACAATCTTTTGTAGTCCATGTTCACAATTAGTCTCCCCTGTGTTCATCAGGACTTTGAAATACTTCACGCCTGATCAGGTACAGCATGGCTGCAGCAGTGGAAGCTTTCATGCACTCAGTTATGAATGTACCCTCAGCCCTAATTTGAGCACTTCAACCTTCAGTGCACATCCAGTTCTATCAGGCTTAAAACAGCAGCACCAATTAGCAGCAGTTGTCTTACCAGGCTTACCTCTCAATCTACTCCAACGTGAATTCACACCCTCCAGATATTACCCATCTGTCTCCAAACAATCATCTGATAATATTCACTACGCACGAGCAACATGGGATGGATATGATCCCATAACATCCAGGTCTGTGTTGTGCTCTGATAGCTCAATTACACAGCCCACCTTCTGGAGAAACAAAGTGCAGAAGGGCAGTGCCTGGGCTGCCCCCCAGGGTCACAAGGAATCACATCTAATGCTATGGGATACCACAGCTGGAAGAAATGGTGGCACCTGCCCAAAAAAATGCCTGAAAAGAGAACCCTGGCTGAAACAGAATGTAAGGATAAGCACTTATTCCACATATTCCTTGGGCGTGATGCATTAAAGTTGCTGGTCCTGCTCCTATTTGAATTCTAAAGAAGTGTTGGCAGTGGTCTCACAGAAAATAGGATCCAATACCGGAAGGATAAAGAGCCATCTTGTACGTATATACATTCTCTGCATCATAAATGAGGGCCCCAAATGACCTCTTGCTGGCTATCCAATACTCCTTTGTTTCAGAATTACCCTTTTGACAAAGTGCTCACAAACCTTAACATCACATAGCTGTAAGGTACAGCTTCTAAACCACAAAGTACACGTTTTAGCAAATAGAATAAAACACGGTCTGGTACAGTGATTTTAATCATCCGAATTGAAAGCAGTAATTCAGTGCAGTACACCAGAAAAATTTATTGACCATCAGCAGCACTTCCAGTAACTATACGTTCTTGAAAGACCATTACAACTGCAGGTCTGAAATCCTGCTCCTTGCTCTGCTGTTCTGTAGGTCCTTACCCAGCAAGAAAAGGCTGCTCAGGGCTGCTGCCAACAGCGTAAGCAAAAATGCCTTCAGTCCAAAGCTTAGGAGTCCTGACTGGCTATGTGGGCTTGGAATAGGAAATAAAATGCAGGTGATCCCCCAGCAGCTGGTGGAGGGTATGGATGCTAACCATAGCATTGCCAGGTGATAACAAGACCCCAAGACCTCCAGCCCCAAATCACAGCCCATCTCCTCAGCTCCCCCTTTTGGTGCTATGCATCAAAACAATATATTGGTGTTTGTGTTTTTTTCCACAGCATCAGGAGCTTAGAAATAAGTTTAACAAGATAGAATCAGTTCATTGATTGAATAGGGAGATAATAGAATACTAAGTCAGCATTAGCTCAGAAAGAATTACTTCAGAACAGTGGTAAATCAATATTTTACTAATTTATGAGTTGTTTTGGGTAAGACTTGATCGAAGTCAACTGATTTTATTTATTTATTTATTGCCATTACAAATTTATAAATTCAGAATTATAACAAGAGTTTTTAACTTATTTGGTCACAAAACAGAAAGGACAGAACAGAGTTCCAGAAAAGTTAAAACAAAAAAGTAACAAGTAAGTAATTAACTGATAGGAGAACACAAGAAGGTGAGTAGCATTCAATAAGAAAGTATCTTACTTTTAATAAGTGCATATATTACATGGAAATATTAGAATCTATTTGTGTAATTTCCCTTCTTGCAATGCCAGTAAGTAGTAATTCAGTGAATCCAATGAGTTGCAAGTGATGTTTTTATATAAAAAACTAAAGTCTCTTTAGTTTAAGCTAAACAACTGCTATGACAGCACGAAGCATTTATGACAGATTATCATACTACTGGATTTATGTTGTGAATCTGGATTCAGCAAGATTCATCTCTGGCCGATTGCTTTCTGTTTACAAGTACAGCACTGCAAAGCACAGCTGAATGCATCTGCCAGGGATGAGGGCAGCTTCTCCCAAAAAAGACTCCCAAACTGAAGCCCTCATTCTGAGTCATGACTTGTGTTGGAAGATACACTAAAGCCCATCCTGTTCCAATCCTGTGTCATAGGGGCAGCTCAAGCTGGCCAGTGCCCCATCCATGGCCTTGGGCACCTCCAGGGATGGGGCACCCACACCTCTCTGCACAGCCTGATCACTACCAGGCTGTAAAATGCCTAGCTCATGTTTATAAACTCCCTTTAAGTACTAAAAGACCACCACCATTCAGTACTGAATACCTGAAAATCAGGTATTGATGCTTCTAGCAAATCACTGAGATGCTTTTTTGGACAATCTTCTCCATGACAACTTAAACCAATCCTTTCAGATAGTCTCTCCAAATAACCTAACTTTTAAACTAAATCACCAATGTGAAAATATACACAGCTATCTCTGAAAGATAACTTGGCAGTGAGCAAACCTAACTGGAATCAGAATGCAGTGGGTCAGGAGATTGTCATAGAAATACTTTGCCTTTAGCATATGCAATAATTGCAGACAATTGTTTAATTTTAGTAATAAAATAATCTCAGTAACTAGATACGTGATTAAATTTGCAGATTTTCATCTAGCAAAAAAACAAAAATAGTACAAATGGGTCAACATTAAATGAATTTCAAAGAAAAAAGGTCAGAAACCAAAAGCCATTTCCCCACACAGTCTGCACAGTTCACTCAAACATGTATTGCTCAGGGAATGAGATGAAGTACAGAATATCCACAGAAAAGCCACAGGTTTCTGTAGTTCCTAAGGAGCCAGCATTCTTTCCTTTACTCCATATGTATGTGGCTGAATTTAAATGCGGAAAAGACCACCGTAGAGATGAAGCTTATCAAAAGACATATGTGAAAACACACACCTGTTAATACTTAAACAGCGTCCACTGATAGAAGTACATTTACTTTCCGGGTGGTGTATAGAAAAGCGAAGGCTGCTGTATTCTCACAAGGAGGGTTTAGAGCATTCACTCTAAAAACAACTCATAAAATACCTTAAAACACACGAGCAAGAATCGCTACTTGAGGAGGCATTAAAAAAAGGTGCTTAAAAATTCAATAACCAATCCTCCTTACTGCAGGTATGCTCTGAAAAACAGAATTTTGAATTTCACCACCCAGAATTAGTCACGATGGAGGAATTTCGCACTGGGAGCTATTCTTGGCCAGTGCATACACCCTTCTGCTAGCCTGCCTGAATGTAAATTGACTCAAGACATTCCCCAGTCGGAGGGACAAAGTGCTACAGGCTGCTATCTGATTGCGATACAGAGCACACAAAGCAGAGATATCGTGGCTCAAAGCAGCAGGGGAGAGGTGGCTGGAGGATTACTGGAGAACTTCACTTCTTCCTTCCCTTTCTTTGTTCTTAAAGCCCCTTCCAAAAGGAAGCATTAAGTCTGGTCATGACAGATATGGCCAAACTTGGTTCATGCTATTCTATTTGCTCGGAGTATTTTGTGTATGAAGATCTATGGCAGAAGCACTTTATATGTTGCAATGCCTAGGCTTAAGACAAGCTGGTGTACAAGTAATACTGTGGGCTGCTGTTAATGCTGGCTGCACGTGGGCCAGTACAGGAAGGCTGACTCTTCTCTGAGTTTTCCTTTGCAGAAAATGCAGCATAAAGCTGCTGAGAAGATACAATTCTCCTTATTCCCCAGTCATTTTGAACAAGCCTGCGGTGACCTCAGCCTTTCCAACAAATAAAGGACACAGTGTCCAGCAGCTCTGGAGACCTCATTCTTGAGGAGTCACCCACTGATAATGTTTCCACCTTAAAAGCACAGTTACTCAAAACACCAAAAGAATCTGGAATATACTTGGACTTGGTAAGCAGAATGACAATGATAAGTAAATGCTTCCAGATCATTTTAAAGCTGATGTATTTATGAGCAAGAAGAAAGCCTAAAACCCACAGCTGCATGCCCTCCTTTTTTCCTTTTATACTGGAGATGTAAGAAGTTTTTATGATTTAGAATTATAGGTACATACTTCACTTATCCAGCTGGCTTTAGAAATAGGCATCTGTAGTTTCTTTCCAAAGCACATAAGTACCTAGGAAATTGTACACATTTAATATACATGACCAAAAATTTAATTTGTGCTGCTTAATGTGTGTCTACTGTAGAGCAAGAATGAGCTCACCCAGGTCTCTCACCCAGGCCAACAGCAGCAGCAGGAATTCAGCCCTTTACAGACCACTCTCCCAAAGCAGACAGGTATCTGACAAGACACCAACTTTCCTTCGTGGTTTTAAAGTGTGATATCTGCATTTCCCCTTCATGAGATGCAGAGTGTACAAACAACACCTCAGTCTGTACTGAAGTGGTTACTATTATTTTCCAAGACAGGATTAAGGGGTTTTTTTTTTTAATTGATTTTTTTTTTTTTTTTAAATAAGCACAGTGAGAAAGGTGAAAACCACTGAATTGTAGCCAATTCGTTAACACTCCATAGTATTATGAAAGGCAGAAGGTGCTGCCAGGTGTACACTCATAAGCAACAGCAATTTATGGTGTAAGCAAATAGATGGAAAAGTCTACTTGGATAATTAGCGTTCGCGCAGTGAGATTTACTGGGCTTCGCTCTCTGCTAAAACAAACGTTGGAAAAACTGACACTTTCTACAGTAAATCTAGTTAGAGAGGAAAGGAGGCTACAGCTTGTCCTCCTTTGCACTGGAAAACATTTTTTGTAATGAGCAGGATCTGAGTCAACAGCACACAAAGCAACATCCACGCTCACTCCATCCACGCGCTGCACAGCTCGGCGCCTGGACCATGAAGCAATGGCTGCAGATTGCTCTGGGCTCCTCAGCAGTACATTGGCACTTACAGCCAACTTGACAAAGCGAGTCAAACTCAGAAACTTCTCACCTCGTACCTCATACCAGGGACAAAGTCAGAAAACCCATAACAGAGATTAGGGTGGCTCAGAAATCTGGCGTAGGACGGCACAGCGCATGCATGAACTCAACCTGGCATCCAAGCCTTGAGCTCCCATTTCCTGGGATAAGATGACCCCATTCTGACTTCTGACCTGACCTAGGCGGATACCTAGAGGTTAAAGGTCCATGCACTAAGCCAGAGAACAAGCTGGCCTTCCCAAACCGCTCTCATAATAAGTAACCACCAGCTTCGAATGAGACATCTGATCTGAACCTATTTAAAATTCAAACAAACCCTTCTAAGTAATTGTTGCTTTCCCTCAAATTCTGCTTCCTATTTCAGTTTCACAGACCATAAACTCTATAGAAAATAATAACTTTTGACTTCTGACCCTTCTGTTATTAAACTGCCTATAATCACCACTGCGGATGGTCATGGCTTTAACAATGCAGCTGAAAATGAATGAAGGAAAATCTTCAGATCTCACTTTATTTTGCAGAGTCAGTCTTTAGTTTTCCAAATAAGTCTTTATAAACAAACTTTAGTTGCACTAGTATTGAACGTTAGGAAAAAAAAATCAGAATCAAAGCTCAGTAACAGCCAAAGAAACCACCCTCCTTTCCTCAGAAGAAAACAATTATTATTTTTTTGCTTCTAAATTTGATCCAAGCCCATTTAAAGACTTTCTGTTGACTTCAGCAAGTTGTTGTTGTGGGTTTTTGGGTTGTTTTTTTTTCAGCATTGATCAAGATCAGAAATTGCAAAATAACTTAATGAGACCTTACCTTATAGCCGCCAATACGATGTTCTTGTTTAAACTCTTTCCCATTTTTCAGCCATCTCATGGTTGGTGTTGGGTTTCCCATGGCTGGGCAACGAAACTTGACAGTGTTTGCTGCTGGCACTGCGTGTAACCTTTTCTCCATTTTGTCTGTGTGTGTCCAATAAGGCGCCCCTGTTGCAAGGAGAAACATCCAGAAACGTCACTGCTTGGCACCCAACCTCCCTTTCCAGCGCCTTCCATGGATGGAAGCTGCATTTGTTTTAGTGGGGACAGTGTGTTCTAGGAAGGGTAGAGGACTGGAAATCATCTGCTGCAAGCGTTGATCAGAGTCTTGCAAACAGCTCAGTCTGCAGCCTTGAATACATGATTTATGAGAGAATTCCAGTAATTAACCACAGATATTCCTCACTTGTGGATGTTGAGTAAGACAGAGGGACCAAGCTTTCAGCAGATTCCACTGATCAGGATCCCCATTTGAGTTACTGCAAGTACTCAGCAAACCCCAGTTGTGAAGCTGGACAAAGGCAGAACCGTTCAAAGTCTCAGCCTTAATCTTCTCCCCATCTGAAGAGGGATAAGCACAACTATCTGCCTAAAGCTTGCTAACGCTCGCAGAGCAACACTGCAAAGCTGATTGTGCTATTGAGATGCCATTGAAATCTATCTGCAAATAGAATATATTGCAAAAAACTTAACCAAAGAGGAGAGAGGATCAGCAAAACCCAGCAAGAGTTTGTCGTTTAGTGCCCACCAGCACAGAGAAGCATGGAAAATGCCTCTTTTGTCTGAAACATCAATCCTCTGCCATGTACTAGAATGACAAACACAGCACAACAGAACATGTCTACCCATCTTCCTTTACCCAATACATTTTTCTCAAAACATCAAAGACCAGCCCATGCTCTGGACCCATATGCCACTTTGGCTACATTGCACAGTGCTTTCCTGACATCACTTTGATGATATCCCCATTACAGCTGAAAAAAAAGTTAAGTATTCAAGATCTGCTTAACACTAGGAAACGTTAATTTATTTTACAATGGCATTTTCCCGAAGCAAATCAGATTACTGTGGAATTTTGAGGACTAGAGGGGTCCAGAAAAAGAACTCTATTTCTCTCAGCCCTGTTTCATTTCCTTCATTAGCAGCCTTACACTGCACTATAAATAAACTCTTCCGTTCCTCAAATATTTATAGCAGCTCTTACAATCAGTGTAAACTCAGAAATCCTGCTGCCCCCCTCCCTAAATAAAAATACAGCTGGATAGAAAATACAGGAATAAATTCTTTAACAACATCTCTCTCTGTATAAAGAAAACATTCCAAAAGCAAGTCTTAAAATGATGCTAAGAACGATAAGTGATTTTTTTTTTTTTTTTGCCTGAAGTGGCAATTAGAGTTAAAACTAATGAAGTAGAAAAGCAAAGCAAATCTGTGCATGTAATCAAAACAGAAAATCAGGTAACTATTGGAAATTTAACTAGCACACTAAGAAATTGTTACACAGACTAAAGTGAATTAGAAATGCAAGGAAAATTACTGCTAATGTTATTTGCTAAAACCAGGATCACATTAAGCCAACAGAAGAGTTTAAACAAAGCCAACCAAAGGAATTACAAACTACACTCAAAGACCAAATTACATTAGGTCTGTATGCGGCAAGGGCAGAATTACAGGCTGGTGGTGATATGTTACAAGGATATTTTCCCTGGATACATCTCACAGGGCAACGTAAGGTGACCAATATCAGGTTATAATGTCCACATAGTCAACTGTAACAGGTCAGATCTTCAACAACCCTAACTGGTTGTATTGCCATCTCAGAGCCCAAAAAAAGACATGGAGCTGTTGGAAAGGGTCCAGAGGAGGCCATGAGGCTGACCAGAGGGCTGGAGCACCTCTCCTCAAAGGCTGAGGGAGCTAGGCTTGTTCAGCCTGGAGAAGGTGCAGCGTGACATCATTGTGGCTTTCCAGCACCTAAAGGGGCCTACAGGAAAAATGGGGAGGGACTCTTCAGCAGCATGTGTAGTGACAGCACATGGGGTAATGATTTAAACTAAAGGAGCGTAGATTGAGGGAAGCAGTGGATAGGGTTTTGGACAGCTTGGTGGGAGGTGTCCCTGTCCTGCAGGTGGTCTTTAAAGCCCCTCCAACCCAAACCATTAATTGATCCTATGCCCCAAATAGGCACCTGACTGAGAGCTGACTCAGAAGCTCTGCAGCAATCATTGCTCCTGCTCATCACATCCATCTCACACATTTGCATGTGGCCAAAGCACTGATGGCTCAGGAAGCACCAATGGGCAAGCAGGAGCTCTAAGCTCAGGTTCCACAACACCCCCCCCCGAGGCAGCAATGCTCTGCAGCCTGCACCCAGCTCAGTGGGAAGCTCTCCATGGGACACAACTGAGGATCAAGGCATGCAAGTAGTTCAGTATTCAAATGCCTCATGCAGCCAAGTTTCTCTATAAAAGTATTCCATACAAATATCAGCTTGTATAGCATTACAGTGCAGCTCATCCTATGGTTGTCTTGCATATTATTCCCTTGTTCCCCCATCCTTGAAAAGTCTCCTGTAAAGAAGTGCCCAGATAATTCTCACAGACAAGAAATACACGGCGAAGAAACAATTTACTCCACTGAAAAGGTGGGAGCAGAGAACAGGCTGGGAGGATGCTGGCAGGAATAAAGAAAAACAGCCACAGGGGGAAGGAAGGAGGGAAACTCCAGGCTAGGAGCAAGGGCTGTGTTTGAAAAGCTTTCCCTCACACAAGCCTCACATCAGCATAACCTCTAGAGCTCCTGAATTACAGGGGAACTCTGAGAAAAACATGCAGACATCACATGCTGAAACCACTGTCTGAGATCACGTAGGATACCCTGCCATTTTTCACTAGGTACCAGCACAGTGCATATTGGCAGCTCACCAGCACATTTAAGGAAAACAAGAAAGGCAGCAATATCCACAAATTGTACCACTCACACTCCTTTTGTGGCTTCTTACAGAGATGCGTGGTCTTTCTTTTCATAGAGAAACTTAACAAAACCTAAAAGCACATTTCTGCTTTTGCTTTGAGAGCCAAATCCATCTTAAAACGAAGAATAAACGTAGTGTACCAGCACATACCAGCACAGGCTGACCCCTTGCAGACTATCTCTGTGACATGCCACCCTCCTTATAGGATGAAGGACACATCTCTGGGAGAAGCTCCCACTAACAACCAGTGCCAGCCCCATAAGCAGCAGCATCGAGCAGCAGGGGAAGGAGTGGGAATTCCTGATCGCTTTTAGAGCTCTCATTAGCGAAGAAAATATCCTGCTGACCCTCACTGCACTCTGCTGCAAATACATTACATCTAATCAGGCAAATCTCCTGCATGTGAAATTGAAATTAGGCGGCCCAGGGGACCACTTCAGAATTTCTTGATTATTTTTTTTCTCTGAACACACCTAATACAAAGAAATAAAGGAGTAGACCGTTCCAAGCTCACCCGAGGAGCACCTTGAGCCACTCAGTGCACCTGGACTGACCACACCAAGTCACCCCGAGCTTTTCAGTGCAATTGTATTTGACCTTTAATTAAAAAACACTTCTAGGCAGCATCCAATTTTTGCTGCTCCCTTGAGCGGGTTTCCACTCTGCAGGATCTGATGAATTTGAACCTTGTTTTATCCTTTCCGAAACTCTTCAAGGCATGAAAAGCACAGCATGTGGATTACATTTAGATACTTTTTGTTCTTAGTGCCAATTTACCATTGCTTGGCCCAGAAGAATTTGTTTAAAGAATGATAAGGAGAAAAAAAAAAAAAAAAGCTATAAACTTCCCATCACCGGATCAGAGTTGAAGGCAGAACAGAAGCATCCTCAGGGCTACTCTGTTACCCAGCAAACTACTGCTGGCAGGCTTTGGTGCAACCCCAATGTCAGTGCAGCCTTGTCAGGACTATAGGAATTCTTGAAGTTTGGATTCTCTCTCAAAATCCCAGTGATGGCAAGGCAACAAGCAGCAACAAAGAGTCACTACCAGTAAGAACTGACAGAGGACAGCCCTTAGCTTTGTGATAGGAAGTCTAGGCCTACGCCTCGAGATGGTCCTCCAGCACCAGGCTGAGGCACCTCACTAGGAGCAGAACTGAGCATCCAACACAGTCATTCTATGGACAGAGAGGACTGGTTTTGCAGTGGAACCAGCCCTGCACCTTCCCTGTGAGCGCTAATCACTTCAACAAAAGCTGGAAGTAATAAAAAGCTATTCAGGATGCAGTCTGGAACAAATCTACCGCATTGGTTTTTTTTTTTTTCAGACAGTTAAGATATCTGTCAGGCTAGGAGGACACCAAACGCAGTGTGAAATCTGCTATGCATGCTTTTTACTTAAAAATACACACAGGCCAAATGGCTGAATGAATGCACACGTGTGCAACACGAGTGCCCTGGTCTCCTGAGAGCAGGCTGCTGCTCAGGCTCCTGAGCACCCACACCTCAGTCCTCCAGGAGCAGTTGTGTTCTCAGGGCAGCCTTAGAGCACAGGCCGGATTTCCTCTTCAATCCCTTCGCCTGCATTTGAAAACCTTGGCCTCAGTAAATACATTTGTAACAGAGGCAAAGAAAAATCCTTAAAAAGCTTAAGAGAGTACTTGAACTAGTAAATAAAACAGTTCTGAAAGGTTTGCTTTGGGTTTAAATATGCAGGAATGAGGATGCCAAGGTTCAGCTTCCCGTGGAAGGCACTGCAGCCATTTCCTGCCTCATCACATTATAATTAACATGCCAAGACAGCTGGACTTTATCAGAATTGTTTCATCAAAAAGCAACAACCTTTGAAGACCATGGCCTTTTGTTTCCATCACTAAAGGCATAACCAGGCCAATTTCCATTGCTTATCCTTAATGATCACAGCTGTAATTTGCATGTAAATTATCAGTTAAATAGTTTTAGATCTGCAATGCTCAAACCCTGATTCAGGAAACACTTAAAGAGCTCCTCTCTTCGACTGGTGGGATCCCGACTTCCCCAGGCTCTGCCCAACTGCAGGAAGGTGGAAAGGAGTTGATCATTGCACGGCACTGCCTCCCCCATGGCACTCTCAGCATGGACTTAAACTACTCTTCAACTCCACATTCACTTTTCAATCAGTCTTGCAACTCCATTTCTTAAATTAGATGTGGCCTTTCGGGTGCAACACAAAATCTATAAGAGTAGCGTAAGAGTAATGGCCAAGAATGCTGATGGGAAAGCTCACAAGGTATCAGATAGGCAAGCTTCAGTGGTTTTCAAAAGGATCAAATTGAGTCCCACCCCTAACTTTCAGGCAGTTCCGATCATGCCAAATCACAACCATCTTTCAGCAAAGTTGTATTAAACCAACCGAGTTACTATGATGCAACTTTTCATTGAAAACAGACTGTTTGCAGGAATGCTGTGCCACAATCCTTTTTCAGGCTCCCACGCTTCCTGTGGAGTGCTCATACAGCAGAAGAAAGGCTGGTCTGCAACCTGCACCCACCTGCAGCTCACAAGGGAAGCCAGCAGTCTGTGGGCACCTTGTGAAAGGCACTCTTATGAGCACTTATCTGGGAAATGCTCTGCTTGGGTGCCATCTACCCAGCTGGTGGTGCCTCAGTTCCACTCTGCAGAAGTTTGCATGCTCCCCACCACCTGAGAAGCCTGAAGAGTCACGCTTCACAGGCAGCTTTCATTCTGAGTGGGGAAAGCGTGACTGACCCCTGTTAAAGCACTCAGCCCATCCCCAGAAAGCAGAAGCTGTCAGCTCCTGAATAAAGACGCATTCACAGTGGCTCAAAATGATGCTGGTACTACCACAGTATCAGCAGCGTTACAGGAGATACCACAGGGTAGCTATTCCCATTCAATGAAAGGCAAGGAATGGCTACCACATCACCCAGCTGCCTTGAAATCAAGTCCTTGCCTTTCTCTTTCTACACGTGCTTCCAAAATCCATTTGTTCCCAGTTCATCTCCAAAGCTCCTAAGCACAACTGCGTTCTGAAAATCTTGCAAGCCCTTTTCTGACAGGCACCAATAAAACCCTGAAGTGATAACAGATACAGGGATGTTTCCTAAAAGGAATTCCTCCCCACAAGCCCTTTTCAGGGGAATACTAACACTGCCCGGGCTTGGAGGTTTTGCCCATACAATTGCTTTTAAAAGCAATGTCTCCTATCCAAACTCACCAATTATCTCTACCACTGCATTCCTTTGTCTGAACAGCCTACATCTGCTTAACTCCAGCCACTTCCAGCTGCACCTGTGCATCAGGCTGGGGTAATGCACTAACAGATGGCAGGGGCCACGCCGGCAGCTAACTGCTTATATCACTTTAAATAGCATCTAATGTTTCACAGCTTCAGAACAGGGCAGTCGTACACAGTAGTAACTAACTAGGGTAGCTGAAATAAGGCACGTGCTCCTTCATCCCAACAAGTGCTTCAAGTATTTAGTATCACTGCCAATTGCTAACACGTCCACGGAGCAAACGCACTGCTGGCTACTGCTTCTGCAACCAGCTGACATCTCTGATGGAGGACTTCTGTGTTTGTTGTGTTATCGACTTTCTAAAGCACGAGCAGTAGCACACTACCAGCCACCCAATGGGATTTTGCAATGGTGCAGGGGAGCATAAGGAACCAATATGAATTTTACTTTCTTTTTTTTTTTTTTTTTTTTTTCCTTAGTGGCTGTTCTATTTCGAGCCTATTAATAGCTTTCCAAATTCCCCAAAGGGATTGAACATCCAGCTAGGTTTAAGACTCTTTTAGCCTTATTTTCATCATGCGTAAGTAACACAAAATGTGGTTTTGGTGAGAGATTGCCTTATTTGTGACAAACCTTGAGGTCCTTTGCAGACAAAAAAATAAAAATGGCAACAACAAAACCCATTGCATCCAAATCCATTCTTTCCATGAGATTTCTGCCCAGGTTAAGGACTGAGGGATTTGCCTCAGAAAAACCTAAATTTCATTTTTAAGGCTTCCAATCCATCACCTTTTAACAGTGTGAGTTGGATCTTTGCTTCTTCTAGATTTCAGCTCAGGTACAGAGAAAGTTAAGATTCTCAATAATTAACCAGAACAGATAAAGACCAAATTTCAATTTAAGAAGACAGGAAACTTCAGAAATGCAAGCAGGAAGGGAGACAGAAAGTACAGACCAGGAAAGCATGTTTAAAAGAATATTAGTTTATTTTTTCTTTTTGCTCCAAATTACGAACCAGGAGAAACAGAAAATGGAAGAGGACAACAGATACCACTATTTGATAGCACATGCAGTTAACAGTCGAGGAGCTCTGAAGGCAGGAGTGCAAGAAACTGGATGCTATTTTCCATGTGAAGCTTATCTTGCCAGGCACCTCCGGCAGCGTGCTGTTACTTACTCATCTGGTTGCTGTCATTCACAAAGTCCTCAGACCCATCATTGTCATCTTCATCATCCCCAGAAGACAGAGCATCTGCACATTAAAAATAACCAAGACTTTAAAGGAGAGCATTTTATAGACAAATAAACCAATATGCTACATCTTATATTACGTACCAAGAAGAGAAGTTAAGTTAGTTGTGCAGAAGCTATAGAAAATGCACGAATGTGTGTTCTTACAAAATTCTAACAAAACTAGCTAATAAACCTTAAACACTACAGAAGCTTCCAAAGAGAGCTCGTTAACTCCAAAAATCTTTGGACTGAAAAAGCTTTGCTTCTCTTTGAGACATTCAGCTGACCAGAACTGAGTGCCTGGAGAGCAATTTGTCTCTAAACAAAGCCACGTAAAAGGATGTAGGACAGCCTTTTTTGTCTTTGGACTGGGGGGAAAAAAACCTCATATTCATTTTACTGGTTTTATCATCATCATAACAGCAACTCTGTACAATTTAAACCTGTCATGGAGGCATAAAGCAGAGGGCTATTCGGCAGCTATTAGTACAGACCCCACGAAGCAGAAGTTGTATACACAAACCAATGCCATTTTAGGACAAAGGGGAAAATACCCAAAATACCTCAACTGCAGAACTCAGCTAAACTTTCTGTGCCCAACTGGACTGTTTCAAGTTATATTATTATATATCTTTACATGACATTTTACAGCTTCTACATGCAAAACCTACGTTTAGCTCACTCACCTGTAACATTTACAATGAAGTACAGAGTATCACTGTCTAGGGTCCTAATAGCAGTGCAAGCATAGAGGCCCGAATCTCTGGGTGAAGCATCTTTAATTTGTAAGTACTCCCCAATAATCACTGTCCTATTGTCGGGCCCCAAAGGGACCCCATCCTTAGTCCAACTGATCATGACGGCGTCTTTCAATTGACAGCGCAACTCAAGTGGTTCTCCTGGAAGTGCTGAGTGTACATCTGGCTGAGAGATTTGGTATTTGGTTGGCGGCTCTGCGAAGGTTGAAGGAAAGGAGGGAAAAGAAGAAAGAAGGAAAGGAGAGAATTTCCAACACAAGTCAGTGAAGGCCCTTTTTATCCATAGAAATCACGTTCAATAAAAAGTTTCATCCAGATTAGCCCAGCAACCTGCCTTGTAAAACTGAATCACATGAAGATACGGATAAGCTGTGTTTTCAAAAAAAAAAAAACCACACAGAAAGCTCATTCCCCTTCGATAGGTCCCTTGTCATGTCCTTATCTCAGCTGCCACAGAGTCAGAATCCACCCCACAGCCACACCATGCCAACCCCAGCGAGATGAGAACTGAACCTAAGGGCACAAAGGGAGCTTGGAGAAGGCAGGAAGAGAAACAAAAACTTCAGTTTCATATCACAGCTTTTGTGTCTGTAATTCAACATTTATCTGTTCTTGTCTGATTTTAGATTTAAGGTTCTTTTTAATCCTGAAAAAAGCTGTTTTGGAGAAAAATAGCCAAGAAAAGCTAGTAAACATGAAGTTCTGTACACAGCCTATACGGTGCCCTTTAGTTTTCACCTTTTCTAAAGCTTCAACATTTGCTCTCTACACTGCCAACTCTGCTCCAAGCAACAGTAACTTTTTCTTTTTTATTTTTTCCTCTTCATTCCCTACTTTACAACCTCCCCGAGCAGAGCACAGCAGACACCTAGAAACACAAAACTTCTGAAGGCGTGTTTTTCCCAGCCATTCAGAGCAGAACTGCTCATCCATCAGTTCCCTCTTGTAACTCAACATTGAGCGCATCACACCAGTCTTTAAAAATAAAAACCAAAAAAAATCCTTGGAAAAATGATATCTGCCTGTAGTTACTACAGCTGCATCATCCCCATAGGGCAGTGGTATGGGGTAGAGGGATCTCTCCAAGCCACCCCTATGAAGCACCCAGACAGAGCCATGCATTAGGAACTGCTTTTGTCATTGGTTTCACCTGAGAGCCACAGCATCCCTCTCCCACCACCCCCTTCCCTCATCAAGACAAAAAAGTAAATATGGGAGAAAAACATGAACACATTTTCTGCTTGCTCCTGACGGTCACGTCTCCCAGCTGGCTGCTGCTCTCATCCTGACACATATCCTACACAGACACCAACTGTGCTCTCATGGGTGTGCAAATAAACACAACACACGCTGCTTTCTGTTTGTTGGGAGTCACCCCTTTTAATATTCCCTCAGTGTCCACCCTTGCTTCTAAGAATACCATGCCCTGAAAACCACATTCCTCCCATGTGCTCATTTCTCACATTGTGCCTTCAACAGAGAAGGCTGAAACAAGTGCCAGGTCCAAGCCAGCCATCAGGTGGGTGCTTGGTCATGTTGAAGCTCTGTCAGAACCCAAATGGGACACTTGGGCATTTCGATCTTTTGTTCTACTTGAAAGCAGTGAGCTCAGTTTCTCCTCCTGCTTATTTGAAACCACACAATTTCAGGGAGCTGAATGGTAGTTTGCCTGATGCAAAAAGAGACCAGATCCAGGGATGAGCCCCTGCAAAGCCAGCAAAGCTCCTCCCATCTCTTCTTGCCCCCTCTTCTCTCTCTTGCCCCCTAAGGCAAGCGTGTTTTTCAGGCAGCAGAAGTGGCACAGAACAGGACAGTCACAGCAGGGCAGTGGCTGGGAGAACCATTTCAGCAAAACCTGAGCGAGAGCGTTTACGGGCACTACAACATTTCTCAGATTTAGATTTTATAACTGGGTCTCCGCGTTTCCCAGAGTGCAAAATTCCATCTCAAAGCCTACAACAAGCTACGATACAGCTTCACATTTTACAAACTCATTCAGCCTTGCTGATGCAGCCAGGAATCCACGGATCTGCAGTGCAGGTGTTTTACTGAGCACTGCACTGTGCTGCTCAAAATCTCATTTCCAGAAGAAGCATGGGCTGTTGCTGCACATATATCTGTAATAAATACATTTCAGTATACTGGAGAATATTTGTAATACAGAATCCAGTGTCAAAATAAACTTTAAAAAAAAAAAAAAAATAGCTGACACTGGCTTGCTAATTTACTTTGACGTTTACAAGACATCCTTGTGAGCACTCCACCTGCAAAGTACATTGCATTTACAGAGTTTGCACTGTGCTGAAAACGTACCGAGAGCCTTTTAAAAGGTCTTTGTTAAAGCCACCACGGGTGAAGACAGCTCAGCCCTCCCACAGGTGCCTGTGAGGCTGTGCTGAGCAGCACCAGGACATCTGCAGGATGCTCACACAGGTTGCAAGAAAAACCATTTTCTACTACTCATCCTTGATTTCTAAAATGACTATCCCCAATGTAATTCAACTCTTCCAACACAAATCCAAATTCAAATACAGTTTTAAAAGGAAAACTAGCAGCAAAACAAAAATAAATTTAAAAAAAATGAGTAGGTATTAAGGAGTTTAGTAAATGCTATCCTGCTGCACGTCTCTCTCATCAGAGTATCAGAGAAGATCCATCACCGAGCGTTGTCATGAAGTAAATGAAGTCATGTTTGGAAATAGTGAGCCCTTTCAGGTGAGCCTTTGTGTTGCCAAACTAGAATGTAGCAGCACTTAAGACTGTCACTTTTTATAACGTTTGCCTATAAACTTTTCCAGTGTGGGTTTGAAATGGTGCCCAAATGCAAACAGAGAACAGGTGGGATTCAGAGGCATTATTAGCCTGTCCAATAGCTTCACAATGAAAATTGACAGGTTCAAACTGTTAACAAATTCCCAGCAGTGCATAAACAGCCGTACCCTGCAAAGTCAACTCCCCCAGGACGCTGCACCCCTTCACAAGCCATTTGTACACTGCTCTAAGATTTAGGGACACATTTGCACACTGTATAACAATCACAGCAATGCCACCCCTGAGGATTACACGAGGATCATTTCCCCACTTGCACATCTTTGCAGAGTACCAGAGAAATGAGCCATGCTCAGAATTCACTCGCACCCATCCTCTGGTGTTTGGGGGCAGCGTCCTCTGCAGTTCTCCCAAACCAAAAGATCCTAAGCAAAAAGAACCAGGTACGTCTCAGGCAGGAGGAGGGAGGAGATGGCCCAGCAGAGCACAAGCTGCCAAGCAAGGCTTGATGACCTGGCATCACATCTGATGACTCGATAACACGTTTATGCTCCTCCTGCCTAAAACTGTATCCCTGAGCCATCCCCATAAACTGCTAGTCATCACCCGACACTTCATTTGGTGAGAACTGCACAGCCCAGGATTCCTCTCTTAGGGACTTCACCTGCAAATCCTATAATTGCGGCATCAGTTCCCACTGCAAAGGTGCTTCAACACACCCTTAAAAAACAAACAAACAAAAGGCATGTGTAACATTTCTGTTGACATTCTAAGGCACTGGAGGACAAGGCAAGGAACATTGCTTCTGCTATTGTTTACTCCCAGCTACATCCTTATTTGAAATAGTGCTGCAATCAACGTAAGCATATTGAAACTTTATAGGTGGAGCCATTGAACAGCACCCCATGGAAAACTAAGTCCCTGATAAATAAACACATGATGGGAACTTCTTGTCCACCTGCTCACACGTGGTCACAACATGGTTCACGCCATCCAGCCATCAAATGGAGTAAATACTGTTTGTATGAAAGCCACGACCACAATGGAGGACTGAGAGCATTCTGAAAGCCCCATTAAATATTATTATGAGGTGCAGAATTATATTTCAAGTCACATTTCTATTCAAGACTGGTCACTGAAACGAGAGATTTATACTTCCTTAGATTTTAAATAATTATTAATTGTCTCCATTTATTAAAATGTTAACAAAGAGCTGCTTATCTTAAAGCTCAAGGCATTTAGTTACTTAGTTACAGAGCCAAATAATTAAACAATCAGCTAATAGCTAACCCCAGCAAAGATTCTCACACAACTCTCCATAACACAAAAGCCTCAGATCCCATCAAGCCACTTTCACTTCAAAAGGCTTTAGTAAATAACTAAACACTCACTACAGCATGCCCAGAAGGGTCAACAGACCTGACCTGTCACGAATCCAAGAGGTTCATTGCAAAATTGAATGTCCCCATGGGAGATGCCAGGCTGGCAAACACTCCTCCCACTGCTTCTCCTGCCCTGCTGTTTTTCTGAGAATTGCAGAAGATCCAAAACCACTCTGGGTGAGCTACATACACTGCACTATGCCTGAAGCAGAATAGCCACAGACCCCAGTGACTGAGACAAACACCAAAACTTCCTGCTCTCTGCAGGAGATGGGCTTTCATTAGCTCCAGAGCCTAAGTACCAACCAGGTTTGCACCTTTCTCATCTTCCTGGTACAACCCTATGGTACAAGGTGCCAGGCTAACGTTAAGTGCAGCTCCATGTCTTCTTCTCACAGGATGATGGATAGCAAACTCAAAGCAATGGCCACTGGTTCAAAAATGCAGAGTGGCTCCTGGCGGCTGTGACTGACTGCTGTTAGCCAACAGGGAACCAAAGTCACAAAGGCTGAGCACGTCTCCTTACACAAAGGGGGACAACACAGTGTTTGCAATTCATCCATCTGTTTCTCCGAAGTCACTGGATTCCCTGCTGTCCTATTTGTGCTGTGTTTATGCCAGCTAGCTGCCAGCTATGCCCAGCTCTGCCTTGGCCAGGAAGTCAGGAAGTCTCTGTGCTCTGATAAAATACTTTCCTTTCAAAGCTACTCATCTTCCTTTCATAATTTTAAAACATAAAAACATCTCTTGTCATTATGAACAGCACTCCAAAGAGCACAAATCATTTTTTTCTCCCCTTCACTGCTTAAAAATACTAATTGTTCAAAACTGATAGAAATCATACAGGCCTTACAGAAACCTTCACCAAACGCACAACACCAACAAGCAGGGGATACACGTGACAGCTACAAACGTAAAAAAGTGGCAGAGCCTAAGTCTTCCCTCCTTGCTTTGAAACAAGCTCCTGGGATGTTCTATTTGAAAACACAGCAACTTCCAAAAACATCATGCAGCAGACTCCAAAATAAACTGAGGTGTTTCTCC